GAGCATCAAAAGTTGAGCAATGTTCAACTTTTGATGCTCCCAATGCTTGCGAAACTGGCATCAGCCAATCAAATCCCGTTTATGCAAATCTGTCAGTGCAGGTTAGCCAATCAAACCGCTTGCAAGCTGGGAGAGCCAGACCGCAGTTCATTTCCTCATATTCCAAACGAGATATTACGGTAGCAAATCACCCGGTTCTTTATGACCAGACTATTTACCGGGATACAAACCGGAGGAACCAGGCATGGAGGGAGGTGGCAGAGACAGTGGGTGAAACTGGTAGGTTTTCGCCTCTTTGGGGATTTTATATCCAGTTTACTTCGTTTAAACATTGCTATTGCTTTGTATGTCGGGGGCGGGAGATTCATATGATTGGTTGTTGGTCGCGTTGCTCGCAAAAAATCCCCAAGCTTTCAGACACGCCCACCTCCAAGATTTTCAAGATTTTTTTAAAGCTGCTGTGTGGACGGGCCGTAACCCCTGTATTACATTACACACTGTCATTCTTCCCCACTCTAACTTCCAAAGGAAACACATCAAAACAGCTCTAATATAAAGAATGGTGGTGCCATGACGCATAGCGCTAACATTGTATTCAGATGGAAAGATGCTTTCAAAAGATAAACAATGGTGTCCTTGACTTACCTCGATCGCTGTCGTACAGGTAGGCGAACTTGTCCCACTTGTAGTACTCAATAAGGCTGAGGAGGGGCCCTTTGATATCGGGTCTCATCTGGATAATAAACTGCTGATTCCCATCCAGAGGGAAGCTGGGCGTAATGAAGGACACATGGAGCGTCCCACAAAATGACGTGATGGTGTTGACAGACTTCTTGTCGTAGAATCCGAAGATGGCGTACACTCCTCTTGAGAACTGTGAACAGACTGAAGCAGAGGAAACAGCATTGTTAAGGTGGGTTGCTTGAGATTTAGTCAGAACTATCACCATTTTCCATTCTGAAACAAACTCTTGCTACATTTATTTGTGAAGCTTTTACAGCTTTTTTGCAATAATGCATTCATCAAAGACACTCATGACAAACCTTTATAGCACATTAGCGCTAAACAACTATTCAGGGTCGCCACTTTCTTTTCTTCAGGCTGATTAATAGATAGCTTTCCATAAGCTCTGCCAAGGGAGTGCTTGTATTCAACAGTAAAAGATCCTCTGTCCGCTTGTCACTCTGCAACTTTTATGAGTTGCCCTATGACCTTTTTCGATACAGTGGGAATAAGCGATGTAGAGTATGTCAAGCATTCACCTAAACCGCACATCAATTCTTTATATGGGATTTCCATCTATGCTGGACCATGATACGCTGTAATGGACGCTGTAATGGCTTATGTTTGATTTCTTCTCAGGCAAAAAAACATTTCAGGCCTCTCCTATGGAAATAAATGACAGGGCAGATACAGCGTGCAGCTGCACCATCACCTATAGGCACTATATGTGTCAAGGGCAGCTCATATACCATATTTAATACACACTCTTTGGAGGCCATTAGACTTAAGTGATCACTTTTGTTAGGATCCTTTTAAGGTATGCAACCAGCATTTATGTTGGCGCTTTGTGTTTGCATCAGACTTTTTGCATTACATCCACATCTTGTTGACTCTGCACAATCACCTTTGTTCAATAATGTATGACCCCTTCTCAGGTACATATAGTACAATACATTTGCTGGCCTCAAACGTTCATTATGCACAGGGCAGAAAAGGGCTATGTGCACTCAAGATAAACATGAATACTGAACGTCTCAGTAATCCTGAGGTAGCAGGTTGTTTCTCAAACATTGCACCAGGGTCAGCAGATTGGCATGTTGCTTGTAAATGTGTATTGATGAAATGTGAGCTAATCAGGGTTATTGATTTGGACATATGTGTCCTCCAATGTAATTAATCTAATGAGTCATTTCCTTTTGCCCAATATAACTGGGATGACTTGCTGACAAAGGGAACTGGAGTCCTCCATACAGTATATCATATATTAGCTAGCTTGGCGTAAGTACTGCATGCACTCTGCCTCTTCTGTTATGACCATGGTAGCTATCATTGATCAATCAATATAAAGAGGGAATGCTGTGGTCTTAGCAACATGGAAATGAGAGAATGTGAACAACAGATTCACATGGAAGCTTTGCTCTACAGATTTCTATTTGAAAATGATAGGTTTTGAAAAGGACTATTCATTTGTGTACACAGTGAATACTCTTAACAGCTATTTTTCCGTCCTGTTAAGCACCGATCTGCTTCGTTAGTGGAGTTGTGGGCAACACGAACAGCAGCTTATTAAAATGCATCTCTGACAAATGTACCCAGGACTCTGCAGTATTGTGTCTTAGTCTTTTAACCAACTGTGTTCCTGCTAAACAAGACAGACTCACTTGGACCACGAAGAACTTAAATCAAACTCAAACCACCAATTCCATCCGTCTCCAATAGAGGGGTGAAGTTGGAGGATTTATTTCAGACAAACATGGTTCCTTAAGTAAAGTGAAATGTATGACAGTGACTGACAGTGCATGTCAATGGCTTTGATACAAAAGACAAGCAACTGATTACAACATATCTGGTTACTTAATAAGAAGTATAATAGAACAAATAAATACTGAAGAATAAAACAAATGTATCTGCACTATAAATCAATTGACTTTCAGATTAGTTACATAAATGGTTACATTTTAGATTAATTTTGTTAGCAGCACCATGTCGAGGTATTTGTATTTCACCACATCTCCATCGCAACGGGGGCTGAGGCTTATGGGTATTGTAGTATTTGAAGCCATTCATTTGCCCATCCGAGGTACTGGAATTGGAGAAGTTGAACATCAAGATGTCAGCTTAAACATGATATTCACCAATCAATTTTAATGAAATAAATTAAGTTTAATGTTATAATGAAACATGTATTAACTATTGCTTGTTAATGTGTACTTGGCTGGCAGCCATACTTAATGTACCAATTATTGGCAAGTGAGCCAAAATACAAATGAGGATGCTGTTTGTGAACAAATAACTATTTTGTGATACAGCGATATCGTTATGTATTCACGTCAAAATCAGATGTTGTTCTTATAGACTTGGTATTCAAGCCCTTGAGCCCATTGTCAAAAAGCAGCTTCTCTATCCTTGAGTATACTTCAACTCTCGCTGTATTTCATCGCCCGGAGTCCAAAACAAATGCAGAGCTCATCTATAATTGGTCAAAAGAAATGGGGGCAAGGCCAGCTTTCATCCACTGCCAGTGTCTTTGTGCTGCCAAAATCTTTACCGTTCCATCAACTCAAGCAATTAAATGTTCATCACAGCAGTCTGGGACAAACCGTTAACGGCAGTCCGATAACCTCCATCAGTCTGTGGCACCGTTCCTAATCTTTTTAGCAGCAGACCGTGGCTGGGGATGAGACCACGGAGAGATCAGAGCTCACTAATCTAATTTCACTTTTGTCTAACCGGGAGCTAATAGAACACAAGGCGTGTCGTTCATTTAACCGTCCCAATCTAACTGGAAAATGATTTTGTACAGATCAGTGAGGAGGAGGAAACATTTCTCAGAGGATACATGTAGAACAAGTCGGGGCATAAATACATTTTTCAGTAGTTTTTAGGAAAGATTTTCCTTGGAATACTGTCAACCTAATAGGAATTACATTAACCCCAATTCAATCTTCATTCTTTTTTTTATTTTGTAACTTCAACCGACCAAAACACTTGTTTGTCTTTTTCACAGTATGCTTTGGAGAGATAAGAAGATATCTTTACAATTAATTGATGAGATAGTTATTCATTAGGCTTCCATGGTCATCCATAGGGTCATTCTTAGTATGCCAATGTATAATATGCAACTATACACACATATGTATAATCAAACAAACAGCTAGACATGTATTCTATGACTACAGAGATAATCCTACAGCTTCATCTGTCAGTTAGCTATTAAACACCAATAACTTTAATAATTATATATTGTTGAAGTTCAAACGACTAACCAGTGTATAAACTAGTTAGCTTTTAGTTAGAACTCAACCAACTACAACAACAACATACTGCTTACATGTGAATGTGTCATCAACCAAAAACATGTACTAACACAAAGAGGTGCCCTTACTGTGGTTTGGTACATATGCTGATAATACTGTACTTTCCATTGACGTTATTTTGCCATGTTTATTTGATAATGTCAATTCAAGAGAAATATTTGAACACTCCCTCCCCCACTGACTCTGTAAGAAGCCATTTTCAATTAGTGATTTTCCCCGGTTCAAATCAGTTTGCTTTCATTGATTTTCAGACGATGAAAAGTGTCTCTGTCTACACAAAGCTGATGGACTACGTATAAAGTCTGTTCACTCCAATGGAATATTTTATATGCACATTCTTTATTTCACAATAGACTTGAAATCCTCCTGTGTTCTCCAGCATTACCCACAGATGGAACAGGAGTTCACGCGAGTTCATGTCATATTCTGTGTTGCACTACATGACAGTGATGGGACTTGTATGCCGTGCGAAGCTCCCATCGTTACAAAGGAAAACATCCTTTCTTGTCTTGGCATCACAGAACAGAAATAATATATTCCAGCACACCTCACTGCAGCCCCCTGAAGCTAACAGAGCTGTAAAGTTTCCTCCTGTCCATGTGTGACACATGGATCTGTCCATTGTCATGTTTCTAAAGCTTCCTTAGCTGGCTCTCTCTCGCTGGTGCGCTTGCTGAGTTTGCCCGGGATTAAAACTCTCTGAGCTCATGCTTAGAGACTGGATTTCCCCATGACTGTGTAGCAGCTTATGCCAAACGAACAGTTTGACAACATGTTACTTTATTACCAAATATGGTAATTCACATCCAGAAGCACCACTCGTTTCTCCATGCAGAGGCCGTTAAGAGGGGATTTTGCTGAATCTGCAATGTGACGGGATAAGGAAGAACAAGTCTTTTTTTTGTAATTGGCAAGACATATGTGGGCCTGTAAAAAACAGAATGTATGAATGTTTAATTAAGGAAGACATGCCATAAACAGCAACGTTTAGAAACATAGTGGAAAAAGCCATTAAGCCTCCGTCCCATTTGACCGCGTTTCAATTAAACCAGGGAACATATACGCAACAAATAAAAACTCCAAACACAGAATAAATGACACTGACTGAGTATTTTTTTTTATATTGTTGATAAGGTCACCTTCATTTCTCACCATGACCAACATGTTAAAACAAATCCTATTATTGCCCACTGCTGTTTCTGTACAAACCCAGTTTCCCCTCTTTCAAAATGATAATATAAAAAAAGGAATTCAGTTCTCACTTATCTGGGAACGTAAGATAAACACACTGTCTACTCGGGGACTTGCAACCCTGACGTTGTAGCTACCGACAATAGGGCATTGCCCACAATATACGCGTACACTTGCATGTTTGGTTGTTGGTGTTTAAGCTCATTAGTCTAAAATGTTCCCTTGAAAATGTTTAATTCTGTGTGTTTGAACAAACAATTCCTTTCCTTTTGTGTGTTAAATAGGTTTATGTGGAGTCCAATGGAGGAATATGCGCCAACATGGAAGAAATTGTCTGAGGTTAAACTGTTTGTCTGATTGAAAGGAAATCAATTAAGTTGCCATTGTAAAGTTTTGGGACTTTCAGATTGTTTTGTTTTCAAAAATATATTTCTATCTCTATTTGATTGTGTGATTAGGGGTAGCTTTAAAAGGCAAGCGTTTCACTTTCAAAATCCAACTAGCTTAAACTGTGTCAGAAGATGTGCAAAAAGGTACTTTTTACACACAGAGAAAGTCAACCAGTCAACAGCCCAGATGTAATTATCAGACTAGAAGAATAAATGTATCTCTCAAATCTTGATTGTGCAATTTACTTATTTATTAATTGGTTCA